GGGGTTCATCCTTCCAAATTAGGCGGTCTTGAGTAGGGAGACGTCTCTGACAAGCAAGCCATAAACAGAAAGCATGCTTAGGAATATGACCCGAGAACCATATCGCTTTATACCACGGAACAATCGGATGATTCCCATCTAAAGAAACCCATGCAGTACTAACAGAAAACAGAGACCTAGAAGTGTAGTCAGCCCCCCAAAGGACTTCATCACAAACAACATCATTTAAAGATGGGACARTMTAGGAACGGAGCGTAGGAATCCWGTTACACCACTCTTCCGGCCATACCCCATCAATACTAATAAGTAATTCTCTAACCGAAGTGCCAGTCGAGAACCCACAAGAATGTATAAACCGAAAGGATAAGAAGGCCGAAAGATGTCCACAAGCCAGCCAAAAGTCCTCCCAAGCATTAGTATCCCGACCATTACCAATCTTRGAAAAAAGAAAACGTCGCAAATGAGCTCWAAGGTCCAACAACTTACGGAAAACCCAAGACCAATTGGAGCTCTTCCGAACCAGCCAAAAATGAGAAGAACGAAGAATATGACAATACACCCATTGAACCCACAAAGAATCACGATGTCTGAGAATATCCCAAACATGTTTCGCAAGTAAAGCCCTATTCCATGTGGCAACACGCCTAATACCAAGACCTCCAGACTTAATGGGCCTACACACCAAATCCCAAGATAACCTGCACCTACCTCGCGGATCCTCCCTTGGAGCCCAAAGGAATTTCCGGAAAATAGATTCAAGATCATGGGCAATCCCAGAGGGAAATAAGAACACAGACATCCAATGAAGCTGAATAGATTGAAGGACCGAAATAATAAGTTGTCTTCGTCCCCCAAAAGAAAGGAACTTAGACTTCCAATTAAAAATGCGACCTTTTACCCTAGCTATCAAAGGACCATAATCAACAATCTTCAACCTCGTTTGAGATAAAGGGACACCCAAGTAACGAACATGAAACATACCTTGCTTGAACGGGAGACACGCAAGAATGGTCTCCTTAATGTTAGAAGACACATTCCCAAAGAAGACTTCACTCTTTTCAAGGCTAGGTTCTAACCCCGAACGTTTATGAAAAAGACAAAGAGCCTTTTTAAGCACCTCCACCGACTGGACATCGCCCTTAGTAAAAACAAAAAGATCATCCGCAAAGCAAAGATGCGTAATATTCAGATCTTCACAACCCCGATGATATCCAAAATCAGAAGCCTCTTGAATACATTGCCGAAGAATCATAGAGAAGCCCTCCATGACAATAGTGAACAGATATGGGGATAAAGGATCTCCTTGCCGAAGACCCCAACCCCCTTGGAAAAACCATAAGAATTGCCATTGATCGCCAGAGAAAAAGAAGTAGTGGACACCATCTCCCTTATCTGGTTAACCATAACCGGATGGAATCCCAACCCCTGTAACATAACAATGAGGAAATTCCAATCCACCGTATCATAAGCTTTTTTAATGTCTATTTTGAGTCATTAAATGGAAAACGGGCCTAACTAGGTCATAATTAGTCTCATTAGACCGTCTAGGGTTTAATTAGTGCATTTTTATCACAAGGAGTCTAATTGGGTCAAGATGACCCTAAATCGGTCATATTTAGTGCATTGAAAGGGGAATATCCCCAGACAATTTTATAAAGACAATAAAAGCAGGACCGTTACAAGCAAATCAGCAAGAAAAACTACRRCAACTTTGACTTACAAACCAAGCCATAAGAAGCCAAAAATGACAAAGAGAAGTACACCAAAGCATAAAAATAACGTAAGCCAAAGAAAAAACGGCAAAACACACCCACAAACGCCCAAACCGAGAMACCACACCACCCACACAATCACATAGCATTAGTAATCTTCAGCTTCTTCCTAGTYTTCCAAGCCATACGTTGAAGAATCTGCATCTTGATCTCCGCAACAACTTTGTCCCCTGTATGWTTGAAGTTATCAAAGAACTTCCTGTTTCTTTCYCTCCATATGTGGTAAACCGTGGCMGATATACCAAGTKTTTGAACAGTAGACCAAGATTTCCATCGTTGAGCTAAACCTCTGTTAAGAATATCCTCCCAATTGTTCAAACAGTTCGTTAACCCTACTTCCTTTTTAATGACTTCCCAAATGCTACTTGAGTAATTGCATTCAAAAAATAAGTGATTGTGCGTTTCAATCACTGATTTACTGAACACACATTTCAAATCCGGCGGTTCATGCTTCCACTGACTGATACGATCTTGAGTTGGTAATTTATTCTGACAAGCCATCCACATGCAAAGAGCATGTTTAGGTATGTATGGTTTATTCCATACCAGCTTGTACCAATGCACAATCGGCCTCACTTCTTGAACAGTTTGCCATGCCACTTTGACCTCAAAATTTCCCCGAGAAAATTTAGCATCAAGCCATCTAGCCGTATCCTCCATTTGGCTGGGAGAAGGTATTAAAATACTTTGCAGCTGAGGGTATTGTTGAATCCAATCCACCGGCCAAGTAGTGCCAAAACGTTGCATTACATCAAAAACCGTTGAGTTATTGCAAAAGCCAGGACCATTTATGAATCTATAAGACAGTAACTGAAGAAGGGGCCCAAATTCACTCCACGTGTCTTCCCAGGCATGTATAGATAAACCATTTCCCACATTGTAGATAAAAAAAATCTCCTGCAGTGAGAACGTAAGTCTAATAGGCTCCGGAGAATCCACGACCATTCATTCCTCTTCTTGATAACCCAAAAGTTTCGGCCCCGAATACAATGAGACTGTATCCAAGAGACCCACATGGTATTTCTACGATTCAGGATATCCCAAATATGTTTGAAAAGTAAGCACCGATTCAGAGCGCAAGTCTTTTCATACCAAGACCCATTTTTAATAGGCAAACAAACCCTATCCCACGCAACTCGACATTTTCCCAACTGACCCTCTGCTTTATTCTATAAAAAATTACGAAACAGCTGCTCAATTTCATGGATTGTGGTTGCCGGTACAAGGAATACAGAAATGATAAGCTGTCGTCTTCCTCAATAAGAAAGGAATTTGTTCTTCCAATTCAAAAGTCGAGATTTAAGCTTTAGTACAAGGGGATTAAAATCACGTACCTTCAATCGAACTGGGGATAAAGGAACTCCCAGGTAACGAATAGGGAACACCCCCCGGCCGAAAAGGCAGGCTATTACGAATAAGATTTTGAACCTCCAACCCCACATTTTCGATAAACACTTTACTTTTTTCCAAACTCGGAGACAAACCTGATCGTTCTTCAAATAATTGGAGAGCACGCTTGATAACTTCCAACGAGGTAGTATCCCCCCGAGAAAAAATAAACAAATCATCCGCAAAGCATAAATGGGTCAACTTGATCTCAGCACATCCTTGATGGTACGCAAAATTTGCCTCTTCCTCAATACATTTTGAAAGAAGCAACGAAAGACCTTCCATAACCACAGTAAACAAGTAAGGAGATAAAGGATCCCCTTGTCGGAGGCCCCGCTTACCAAGAAAGAAACCCTCCGGTTGTCCATTAACACAGATGGAAAAAGAAGGCGATGTGATTAGAGTCTTTATCCAGTTAATCATAACAGGATGAAAACCCATTCCCTTTAGCATCTCTAACAGAAATTGCCAATCAACAGTATCATAGGCTTTCCGAATGTCAATCTTAAACGCACATTTTGGTTCCCCTTCAGATTTTTGATAACCAGCAACAAGTTCATACGCCATTAAGATATTATCCGTGATCTGACCCCCTGGGATGAACGCAGATTGGGCCCTGCTAATAAGAACATCCAAAGAGCCTTTTATCCGTTCAACAATAATTTTACTGATACATTTCAGCAACACATTACAATAGGCAATTGGGCGAAAATCAGTAACACATGAAGCATTAGGAACTTTCGGGACGAGACAAAGAAGGGTATGGTTCAACTGATATTCCAAAGTTCCAGAATAGAAAAAGTAATGGATCCCAATGAGAACGTCCTCACCCACCACGCTCCAAGCCGCTTTAAAGAATTTTGACGAAAACCCATCAGGTCCTGGCGCCTTATCATTCCCAATATCAAATAGAGCATCCTTTATTTCCAAATCCGAAATCGGCCTGATTAAGTGCAAAGATTCCGATAACGAAAGGGAGTGATCAAACAAGCAATCCACCATGGAGGGAGGAACCAGCATATTAGAAGTACCCAGAATTCCTTCAAAGTGATTAATAAAAGCTTTTGGGACATCCTGGTGCTCAAACACAGTACCAAAGGAATCCCTAATAGTAGCAATATGGCTCCTATTACRCTTCTCTTTCATAGCATGGAAGAAGAACTTAGAGTTTCCATCACCTTCATTAAGCCAAGAGATCTTAGCTTTTTGTCGAACCATATCCTCTTGATCATTTCTAGCCTTTTGATATGCTAGTAAGAGGTGAGCAATATCCTCTTTCAGCAAATCATTAAACGGGTCTAGATCACAAGCCAATTGAGCAACATCAAGCTCCGTCTTTAACTGAGCCACCCTTTTATCCAAACACCCATAAGAATTTCTRAGCCGACGACAAACCCCYTTCATTTCTTGYAATTTCCGAATCACTCTTTTCATATAAGAACCTCTCTGAGGTTTCATCCACACCCCCTCTACGGATTTAAGGAAATCCACATGAGAAATAATAAAATTATCAAATTTAAAACCACGCTGACGAATACGTCTACCAACTTTAAAGGAAAGAATACCCGGAGAATGATCGGAGATTCCCCTTGGTTCAAAGAAAACCGACGCGTCCCCAAAGCGAGAAATAAAAGCAGAATTCCCCAAGATACGATCAAGTTTACGCATAATTCCATTACCCCCAGAAGGTTTCTGTATCCAGGTAAATCGGCATCCCTGATACGAGATATCAAACAATTATGCCTCTTCCAGACAAAGATGAAACTCCTCCATATCAGAATTGCGTCTAGAGGAGCCGCCCAAACCATCATGTGGAAAAAGCATAGAGTTGAAATCTCCCATTACAACCCAAGCTTTCCTTTGGACAAAAGCACTAAATTTACCAATATCTCTCCAAAGGTCACGTCTTTTCCCTCCCGTATTACACCCATAAACAAAGGAAATAAAAATTGGATCAAGGTGACCAACAATCCTAATTTCACAATGCACATATTGAGAATGCTGATTAGACCCTAATGGGGTTTTAGGCCCGTTTTTCCTTTTAATGACTCAAAAATGACATTAATTTGGTCATTTTAATTTGATCAGAATCAGATAACTTGAATGAATTCCGGGACGGTATATTTGGGAATTAGAATATTCATGGGAATTAGAATCAGAAATGAAAGAGAAGTATTCATGGGAATTAGAATCAGAAATGAAAGAGAAATATTCATGGTTATTTGAATAAATTCCGGGACAAAATTCTTTTAAGGGGGAGGGAATGTTATAACCAGGTTTCACATAACTTGGGTTGAGGTAATTTATATGTGCTTATTTTGTGGATTACATGAAATATGCATATATGTGAAAAGGTGTCATGACATATATGATTTATACATGTATGCATGTGGTGTGAAACATGCATAAGGTGGTGTATAATTGTGATAAATTATTTGGGTGGACATTATTTTATTACTTAAAAGCTTATATCTTCTTGGTTAAGAAACCATGAATTTTATAATGCAAAATCCACCGCCCAAAGTATTTTTATTGGACAAAAGCTTTCACCGCCTTTGAAGTTTTATTATTAAAATCCTCCACCGCCTAGGTGAGGATATTTAAAGATAAGGTTATCCTCATCACTGTCACTCTTTTAGAAAAGAACCTGTGCGTGTGAGCTAAAGTGTTCTTCAAGATTATGTGTTAAGAATAAGCTGTTGCTGTGTGTTTATCATCAAGAAATCTGTTTGATAAGGTGAGTTTTAAACTACT